TGGCCAGACCCACCTGCTGCCTCAAGCTGCCAGCCGGCACTTTGGCACCGGTTCCTCCTGCTGCTGCTGTGAAGATGGACTTGGCTCCCTCTCCTTTTTGCCTGGGCACTTAAAAGCAGAAATCTGAGAAGCTATGGGTCGGCTCCAGTGAGGTTTATTCCTGGCAGTTAGAGTCTCATCCAGCAACCGCGAACTCATTGTGTGCAAAAAAAATCTGGCTTGGATATTCTGGAAAGATTACCAGCTGGCTTGTCATGTATTATGAAAAGAATAACATTTGCCTTAGAGGATGCTACAAGCCAGGAGCAGGGCCCCGGGGAGCGGCGTGACAAATTTTCATGGCGCTCGGTGATGAACTTGCCACAGTTCTTTAAGGGAATTGACGTGCCTTCGCCTCTAATTTGGGGAGAGGGGAAATGCTGTCGCAAACTTTATTTATCTCCCGCGGAGGGGAGGAGGAGGGAGTCCAAATACCTTCCTGCGGTGGGGATTGTGTGGAAGGAGTGGAGCTGGAGCTTTTCTGCTCAGCAACACCCACCCGAGGCTCATCCTTCTGCTCCCACCTTGCAAATGGGCAGCAACACCCCTTAACCAAGTCTGGTTTTGGCTGCAGGGAGGGCTGAGCACTGCACAAGTCCCCTGGCAAAGCTTTTCTGTACGTGCTGGGCTCCGTGCACAGCTCCAGCGAGGGTGACAACGTGCTGAGACCTGAGCATCAGCCCCAGGAATGGGTGCAGGATGGGAGCCCCGGCTTCCCTCCGCACCACTGGCATGGGGAGCTGCTTGCTAAATCACTAGGGAGGAAGATACATGTGGGTCTGGCCAAAATAACCTGCACGTGGGCTGGGTGAGTTCTGTTTGCGGGAGGAAGGGGAGGTAGAGGCGGTGCCGGTTGTGTTATTGCTATTTATTAGCATCCAGCATGTAGAAGAGCGTGGCAATGCCCAGGAGTCCTGTCCTCTCGCTGGGAGTGCTTGAATAACCCAGATGAAGCAGCTGACCTTGCCCTGGAAATTTGCAGCCTGTTGGGAGGCCGTAAGTGGGTCGGGCAGCTGGTGTAAGTGGGAAAATAATCCAGTTCACACCGCCGGCAGCCCATCAGCAGGAGAAAACCGAGTGCAACCTGCACGCCCAGCCGTGGGAAGCAGCGCAGAGGAGGTACCAGGTGCATGGGTGGCTCTTGCCAACCCCCAGCTCAGTTGGGGAGATGGCTGTGGGGTGATGCTGGGCTCCCCAAGGGACTGGGGAGTCCCCAGAAGCTGCTCCACAGCAGATGTGTGCATTGGTGGTTGTGAAACCCCATGACTTGGAAAAAGCCCCAGTCGTGGATGGCTGGGAGCAGGAAAAGTCTCCGGGAAGCGGCTGCATTCCCCCGTGGAGCGTGCGGTGCTCGGGTCCAGCCCCAAGCAGCTGTGCTTTATTCCTTCCTCGGCCCTCTCCCCTGGACATAGCCCGTGAAAGTGCAGAGGTCCCCTGGCTGCGGGCTCAGCAGCAGCATCTCTGCTCCTCCGTGGTGGTACCGCCATCCCCCCGGCTCCCTCTGGGCACTCAATCGGGTGTGATGAGAAGGGCTGGGTGGGTGTAGTGTACGGCTGCAGATCCCCTCCACTTCATTCAATCACCGCTTCATTTGTTCCTCCATTTAATTTGATCAAAACCTGCTGAAAACAAATCATGTCTATTTAAAAAAAAAAACACCCCACAATTTCTACCCTTTATTTTCATCAGTTTTTATGGCTTTAGGCAGGTGCTCGTGAATGATTCAATCTCTGGTTGGACAAAGATGACATTTAATTAAGAAGGAAGGAAAAGGAAGCTAAGGAAAATAATGTATGCCTTCTTCTTTCTATATGAAGTGTGGGGAAAAAAGAGCTGAGGAGCTTTTCTGTTGTGAAATGCAAGGTCTCATCTACAGTGTCAGCAACTTGGCTGCTTCACAGCGATTCCTCCCCGTGATTGAGATCCAGCCTGGGCCACAGTTCAGCCTCGTGTCTGGTCGTTTAATGGCTGAGTCAGTCTGGAAAGCTGCTGCCCATCCATCTGTCCACCTGGTCCATCTGTCCATCCTCTTCTACATCCTTCCCCTTGCTTTATCCTTTGACTTCGGTGATTTGGTTCACCCAGAACCTCACGTGGAAAACCGGTGACGAGGCACGTGTCTGAAGCAGGGTTTGGTGCCAGCAGTGCCGGATTACCGGTGCACCTGGCAATAACCGGGCTGTCATCGCTCCCTGTGCTTTTTCCATGCACCACGCTGGGCAGCGAGAGAAGATGAGCAGGGGTAACCAAGCCAGTAATCGGGTTAGGAGTGGGAACCAGCTCCACCACTCCTCTTGTCCCGTATTTATTCCTCCTGGTCCTGCTGCTGTTCTCCCCAGCTCTGCTCTCTGCCTTGGCTCTGCCCTCAGAGCCTGGCAGGAGGGCAGGCAGGGCACGAACATCTCGGCCCCTGAGGTCTCTGCGAGGCTTCCGTTTGTTTTTTTGCTTCTCAGATGCAAAAGAAGAAAAGAAAATGTAAACCTCAACCTCAGGCATTTTAATTGCACTCTAAGCTTTAACATTTCAGGGGAAAGATAAAAACAAGCAGTGAAATTTTACCGTTGTGTAATGACGCCGGGAGCAGCGCGGCCAAATGAGGTTGTGAAGTTTATGGTGTGCTCTGCCAGTCGAGAAGGGCTGGGGAGGTGGGGAGCCGTAAAGGATGGAGGGTCCCATGCGTGGGGCTCATCCCCAGTGGGGTACCCCACGGGCAGGCACCCCTGTCTGGCCTGTGACCCTCCAGCAGGCTGGGGTGACTGGAGGTGAGACAAGAAGTTGCACCTCCTGAGTGTAGATCTCATTTAGATCTCCTCTCTCTATCCCATTTATCCTCTTTTCTCGCCTTTTGCGTGTTGAAAACGTGCTCCTTGTGGCTGAGTTGCTCTGTGCCGGGAGCAGCGGTGCAATCCCGTCCCTCTCCCTCTTGCTCTTTGCACCCAGGTCCTGCCTGGCCGATTTCCACACCAACTGCCAAGCTTCCTTCCAGTCCCTGACGAGCTGCCCTGGGGACAACTACCAGGCGTGCCTGGGCTCCTACGCGGGGCTGATCGGTGAGTGCCGGGCGGGCGGGATGGGGATGGGTCCTTCCCACCATGGCCCCTCATGCTTCTTCCTCCCCCTTGCCCGGGAGCAGGCTTTGACATGACACCCAACTACGTGGACGCCAGCACCACCAGCATCACCATCTCACCCTGGTGTTCCTGCAAAGGCAGTGGCAACATGGAGGAGGAGTGTGAGAAGTTCCTGCAAGACTTCACGGAAAACCCCTGTCTCCGTAAGGCACTTTGCTGTCCCTCTCCTCACCTTGTCCCATCCCTGCTGGGGTGCAGCCCCCCATAAACTTCTTCTGCCCCCAGGAAACGCCATCCAAGCCTTCGGCAATGGCACCGACGTGAACCTCTCCCCCAAGAACCCCTCACCCCCCGTCACCCTGCCGCCGAAGACAGAGAAGAGCCCTGCCTTGCCCGATGACATCAACGACAGCAACACCATGTACGACACGAGCGTCATCACCACCTGCACCTCTGTCCAGGTAGGACCCGAGCCTGGTCGCTGCTGCAGACTGGGAACACTGGGCTGGATGCCTCGGTGGGTCCACCAGCCAGGAGATCAGCTGCAGCCTGTGGGCAGCCCAAAGTCCTGCTCAGCGCATGTGTCTTGGTCTGGATGTGGTGTTGGTACCCAGGTGCTTGGCAGGATCCACCATCCCTGGTCTTCGGGGGTCTGGGCACTGCCTGGGGACCTGGCATGGTGCAGGGAGGGAGCAGTGTCCTGCCCATCCCCTTCCCTTGACCAGGGCATGGTCCCCAGCCTGGCATGGCGCTGGGCCCAGGGCAAGGTGAGCTGGCGTGGCTGCCCCAGCCCAGCTTCCCCTGCCCCTGGATTGTTTGGGGTGAAAACAGCTTCGATTCCAAGCCCAGCAAAGATCCTGAGCTGCCCGGGGAGAAGGGATGAGCTCCTTTGCTTTCTTCTCACCTTTAGCAAGGCTCTTCAAGCTTCACCACCAACCACGTGCTACGAGCCATGGTTTCCACTGCCCCGTGCACCGGGCTGCGGGCATCGCCCCGTGTCCCTGCAGGGCGGCTCCGCAGCTCCCGGGGGGTTTGGGGGAGCCCAAATCTCAGGGTGCGACCCCGGGTGCACATACCTGCCCTGAGCCTTCCTCCTTTCTCCTCTGCAGGAGCACGGACCGAAGCTAAACAAGTCCAAAGAGCAGACCCTGTGCTACTCAGAGGTACGTTTGGGGCAGGGGGGAGTGCAGGGAGGGGGGTCCTGGGGCTGGGAGCTGTTTCCCACTGGAAATGGCTTGGGAAGGATGTGCCAGATAACCATGGTGCTGGGGACTGCTGGCTTTGCTGACCGGAGGGCGAAAAGACTTGTTTTCCAAGGGTGGATGGTTTTCCCCCAAAAGGGTGGTGGTGAAACCCTGCTGTCCCCTCACCCGCAGACCCAGCTGACCACGGACATCATGCCAGACCAGAAGACCTTCGTGGACCAGAAGGCAGGCGGCAGCCGACACTGGGCGGGCCGGACCCTGCCCGTTGTGCCCATCCTCCTGGTGATGCTGGG